ATGTAATGAAAATGTAATGAAATATTTTAAACAGTGTTTGCTTATGTTGTTACGTGTTGAATGTACTTAATTTTACTCTCTATTTCTCTACCCTCACCATGAAATCATTTCCTTTTCCTGCCAATGGCAAAACTGTACAAGAAAGAATAATGACGTGGAAAAAGATAACCCTATCATGACCCCGACGTGATTTGAACACGCAACCTTCTGATCTGGAGTCAGACGCGCTACCGTTGCGCCACGGAGTCTTCGGTGGTGGGGGGAAGGACGGGCGGCGGATAAGAGTGCTCGGGCGGCGATCAGGCGGCGCGGCGTGGCGGCTCGGCGACGCTCGGCGGCTCGTCCCCCGTCCCGCGAGGCCAGCGAGCCGCCGGCCCGGCCGCCCGGCGACCACCGCACTACACCCCCCCCCCCCTCTTCCCTCTAGTCCGCTTCTCTCGCCCCTTGCGTCGCCCTATTAGAAGTTTCATCAAAGCGCCTCCCGGAACGGAATCCACCCCGGCAACGGCCTCCTAACGCAATTGAAGCCCCCCGTGCGGACGCCTCCCGGCTCGCCTCCTGGCGCCCGGGGGACGACGTCCACGCCCTGCCCAGCCCGGGCCCAGCCCGGGCCCAGCCCCCCCGCCGCCACCCTGGCGTCGTCGCCCGGCGCGACGTAAGTTGTACTGATGAGGAGGACGCCGTCGAGACAGAGGCGCCCGTAACAGGCTGTTGTTGGCAGTTTCGTGTTTCTCCGCTTAGTTGAGAAACAAAGTTGTCGTCTGCAGAGGAGGAGAGGGGGAGGGCTGGTGTAGTAGAGAATGAAGAGGTCGGGGGGACGTGGCGTACAGAGCCTTTCCCGCTGCCATGTCTTTTGAGGCCAATAGGGCAATTTAGGACAGGAGAAATAATTTTTTTTTTGTTAGGCCCAAACACTTTTTGTTGACTTTTCATGTTTGTGTCTAGCTGCAGATTTAAATGTGTTACTTCGTATAACACTTGTCATGTGAAAAGCTGCTGGAGCGGCCGTGGAGGGGGGGAGGGGCTGTGTGGCTGCGTGGACGTTTTCGTATGCAAGCGCCGTTTTGTCCAAGCGGCTGGCGATTTGCGCTCCAACGACTGCATCGCTGTTGCCTCTACATAGTGAGGGCGTCGTACTCAGTTACCAGAGAGGGAGAGGGAGGGGGGTGTGTGCGCGCCAGGGGAAAGGGGGTGCGGGAGGCGGACGATGGCCCCACAACAAACAGCAAATTGTATCATGAAACGCGAGTGCGATGTGGCGAAAAATAACGACGGCGTAATAAGGGCTGAATCTCCGCCCCTTTGCCTTTTATGTGTATGTGTGAGCGTGCGTGTGGGTGTGTGGGTGTGCATGTGCGTGTTTACTCCGTTTGCAATGCAAATGCCCACTTCGCCCTCTATCCGTCTCTGCTCTCTGTCTCTCTCGCTCGCTACCCCTCCTTGCTCTCTCTCTCTCTCCCTCTATCTCTCTCTCTCTTTCACTCTATTCCCCCGTTGCCGACTTAACGCGTTACGGAAACGCCAATAAAGTTTGCGCCAGTCGGGAAGATTCTAGTCGTCTGGTTTACGAGCGAGCCGAGCCGGTTCGTCATCTCTCTGCGTGTCTCTTTCTCTGTTAACTCCCGCCTATGCACCCCCCCCCCCTTCCCGCTCTTTTCTCTTCCCTTTTCCATACCTCTCGTACAAGTTTTCGCTCAGAACATAGGTTTTTTAATCAATATTGGTGTGACTGCCAACACAGTTAAAACCTAAAAGCAAAATGCTAAATCCTTTGTACCCACGAAGAATATGCTACCTACGACGAAGCTTCCAAATCCTTCGTACCTACGAAGAGTTCTTCGTAAGGTTTTAACAGTGAAGCCGGTGCAATTTTCTTGCAACTGTGTATGACCCCGATAAATCTGATCAAAAATATGGGCAGTTTCGACTCAGGGGTCAGGTCAATGTAACCCAACTTGAGCAACTCGTATCCTATTCCCTCATGTTTCCAAAAGTTGGTTATTTCCCTCTGTTTCCCGGGCCAAACAAACAAATCTTTATTAAAACAATCGATAAACCTTGCCTTCGTGCACAAACAGCCACAATTGACAGACTTTAAAAAATTTGCTTGACCCCGACGTGATTTGAACACGCAACCTTCTGATCTGGAGTCAGACGCGCTACCGTTGCGCCACGGAGTCAGATGGACGCATGAGGCTCGAGCCTTAGTCACACTACGCCCGAGGTGTCGAGAAGTACAGTGACACTGCACTTTAAGTGGGTGCCTTATCAAGCGAGTGTCACTAGGCTTCGGACCGTGCCAAAAACAAACACAAATAACCACACGGAAAGAGATAGCTCTTTATAAAAGTAACAGTTTTAAATACTTTTGTCATGGGCCCCAAATGAAAATGGTTAAAGTTTACGACGGCGCCCGTACTTATAAGATATAGTACTGCTTTCTTATTCTTGCTCGTGGGAGAAAAGAAAAGGAAGTGTCCGTCCATAAAATTTCGCAATTGTGTCATTTAAAATTATTGTAGCTAAGCAATTTCATCTGAAAAGAAACGTTGTCTTTATTTGTTTCTTTGGACGGACGATACCCTTTTTTCGGCAACGACGATGCACCTTTATATATATATTTATATGCCCTTAAAACACAAGTAACGACCAGACATAATTTGAAGTTCACCGGCGCTTGCGTTTAGGTGCGTTTAAGTAGCTTCACTCGTGGTGGAGCGGAAGTATGATTTGTCGGCATCCTTACCCCGTTTGCAAATGTTGCGAATGTGTGTTGCGGTCAGACACGCGCGTCTGTGCAGTATACGTGCGCGGTGTGGACCAGACGGGGGTGCGGTGGGCGGGGCGGGGCGGCCGCCGAGTGCCCTCTCCTCGACAACAAGGCAGCGGCAGTACAGTGCATTCGCTCTTCCGATCTCCATTGTCCTCTCTCGCATGCCTCGCTCAATAAACTAGACACATAATGGACTGACTAACGACCTGGCCGCAGCACCGTCCCTAGCCGCCCCAGCGTCGGAGGGGGCCCACCGGCAGGGGCCGGGTAGGCCGACCCGCAGCACTCAGGTGCCGCGTGGTTGCCTATGCCGACTCTCGCAGGCGGAAACGTCTTCACCTCAGCTTGCTCGCTCCGCAGCCACGCCCCCTCTCAAACTCCCTCCGGTTACGTCCTTCTCTCTCTCTCTCTCTCTCTCTCTCTCTCTCTCTCTCTCTCTCTCTCTCTCTCTCTCTCTCTCTCTCTCTCTCTCTCTCTCTCTCTCTCTCTCTCTCTCCCTCTGTCTCCCCCTCCCCCGCGGCTAAAGGCCCAACGTTTTACACTCGGTGAAGGCTCATCGGAGCCGTTGAAAAGCCGCTGCTCTGCGCGCCGAAAAATGCGGCGCGCGCGCTCTGCTTGCTCCGGCTCGCCCGATCCTGTAAAGGGGGAACCGAACCGACGATCGTGAGCTGGATTGTAAAAAAAAAAGAAGGAAAAACCCTTTCTCGGCGATTCGCCCTCTTCGCCGAAAGGGGTTGTGTGCGGGGAGAGAGGGAGAGAGAGAGAGGAAGGGGTGGGGTAGGGCACGGCACATGGGGGCGTGGGGCGTGGTCTATCGGCGGGCATACATCACGTCACCGGTCTGCTTATTGAAAGGGTAATGGACCTCTCAATATGGTCGCCTACTCATCCATCCGCTTCTCTATCCGCCCCTATCGCTTCCTCTCCCTCCTTCCTTCCCTATCGTAATGCCGCGCACTCTGGCGCAATACGTGTAACCGTGGTGTCGTTGTCGTGAGCACTGTATAAACTAAACTAAAGTGTGCAACTGCAGGCACAAGTGTTCAACTCTACGCGGTGCGCATTCTTAGGTGTTAGACTGGAAAGTTTAATACTTGTAAGTGTTCAACAGCAAAGTTGAACACTATGTGCCGAAGGCCTTATAACCAACCCTTTTTTTTGTCAGTGAGTGCACTCGCCGGCATGCCGGTGCTGGTACACGATTTGCACAAACGCCAGTCTACTGTGATTTCACCTCCTGTCAACCCTTAAGCTGGAAAATCGAAGGTGTTCATTTGCACCTTGCCAAAGAAATTGTAAGATTTATGGGCAAGAAATGAAAGACCCATTTTGGTGTTAAAAATTAAAATTATTCCCTTATTTAGCCGTTTTTATGACCACTAATGGCACTAAACTCACGATATCGACTAAACTACCTTGTTTTTCCAGTGTATTGTGTTGGCTGTGTGCCTCAGGAGGGGGCGGAGAGAAAGGGGGCAAAAGCACCCTGGCTCTGAACAAAGTGCGCCGCTGCCAGCTGAAAATGGAGGCTAGGCGGACCGTTTCAGCCCTCCCTCCCCCCTGACCCTGCCCGGGCTTAGCTTTAGCACGCTACTGCTGAAACGGCGCGTGAACCGAGGAGCGTTCAGCTTCGGCAGACCGTTTCAACGGAGAGAGAGAGAGAG